CTTGTTTAGTTTGTTGGTGGATCTAAGAATTGCATCAAATTTTGTGCAAAAAGTTGGAATTAAGTGGTCAAAAACACTTGAAATGTTGACAGAGGCATACGATAATTGCACTCTCTGTCAGAAAAATGATTACAAACGGTACAAGCTTTCGATAATAATAATAATAATAATAAACGTCTTCACACAGGGTGGGTCACTTTCAGAAGGGGTGTATTTCAGGGCGATTCCTACATTTCCCTTCTCTTCTGCATCTCACTATTGCCATTATCCGTTGCCCTCAGAAATACTCGAGGGTATAACTGTGGCACCCCCGGAAACCGGAGGCACAAGGTTACTTATTTGTTTTATATGGATGATCTTAAACTTTATGCCTCTGGAGAGAAGGATCTCCATCAGTCCTTGAGGGTGGTGGAAGAGTTCACGCATACTATCGGTCCATCTTAAAAGAAGACGATGCAGGGACTAGGAAGAGGATGTGCAGCTCGTAGATGGAAGCATCCTACACCATTTGGATGCCGGAGAGACGTATACTTACCTCGGGGTGAAACAACGTCACCCACAAGAGGTAACAGCAGTGAAAGACTCTCTTCGCGACAAGTATCAGCACAAATTCCGACAGATCTGGTCATCGGAACTGTCGGGAAAGAACAAAGTTGCTGCAACAAATATGCTTGTCGTTCCAATCTTACTCTATTTGTTTGGAGTAGTGAAGTGGACTCGGGAGGAGCTGTATGTATCAACTCGACGTAGAGACCCGAAAAATGATGCATCTCTATAGGAGTTTGCATCCCAAATCGTCCGTTCCACGGTTGTACTTCCCCCGACAACAGGGAGGCCGTAGACTTTTGAGTTTGGAGTGTCTACATGACAGAATGGTACTGAATACAGCCTGTAGAGTCGTCAGGAGTTCGGATCTCCTTCTCTGCATGATCCGTGACCATGAGAGCAGAAATTGGAGCATTTCTCTTCAGGGTAGCTGCTCGAGCAGCTGATGAACTCGGTTTAGTTTTCGACACTGAACGAGGTGACCACAACTCTGACACAGAGTTTGAACCCGTTCAGCAAAAATCTCATATAAAAGCCGCAGAGATCGCCTTCTGCGGAAACACGAGGATGAGCCAATGCATGGGGTCTTCTTCAATGACATTGGAGACCTTGGCTTATCAAAGCGCCTTACTTTCGCTTTCCTCAGGTCGAGTGGGCTGAAGTCGAAAACTGCGGGGTTCATCATGGCCCGCCTTATTCCTACCGCAGTCGCGTGATGGGTATAGAGGTTCCTGGGTCTGCCGCGGGGCACCCGATACCTTGATGCACTTGCTCTCAGCATGTCCAGCATATGCGGTTTTGGCCTATATCCATCGACATAACGCTGCCTAAGAGTGCTATATTACCATCTACGGCAATCTTGCGGTATTGACGAGACCCCGGTGTTGCCCTACGCTCCGAGTGATATTGAATCCGTTGTGGGGAACAAAAAGTGCCGATTTCATTGGAACTATTCGTTCCCCTCCCTCAGGTTCATACAAGCTTATAAGCCTAATATAGTCCTTTTCGACCTCCAGAGTAAGATGATATTTGTCGTGTAGCGTTCAGCTCCTGGCGAGACGAATATCGTCCGAAAAGAGAAGGAAAAATGAATAAAATATCGAGATTTTCTCTTCGAACTCGGCAGTCTCTATCCAGACCACTCTGTCAAGATGGTTGTTCTGATTATTGGTGTCTTTGGTGAAATGATGCCCTCCCTACTCTCGAATTTTAAAATCATACCGACTTGTCGCACTAAGGCAGATATCTTAGCCGGACAGATGAAGAAGGCTGTCATTCTTGGCTCACTGCGCTTGCTCAGGGCACATGATTCTCGGGCCCAATGATCACTTACCCCACGGTGTGGGGACTAGTCGTTGGTTGATAATGCTGGCGCGCCTTCCGGAGTGTATCGAAGCTTCGGGGGATGAGGCCTGACCAGCGCAAACTATGGTTACAAAAATAATAAAGGTCTTCACTTCCCATCATAATAAACTTGAATAAAATACAAAAAAAATATATTTCACATGGCGGGAAAAAGCCTGAAATCAGATTAGCTGCTGCAGCCCGTTATTATTCTCAAGCCGAAAAAATTTCATAAAATAATGATTGCTACTCGTAGCTTCTTCACAGGCAACTCAAAAAAGTATCGAACGTATGAATATATAAGAATGATAAACAAAAAAAACATGACTATGAACCTATGCTCAGTTCAATTGTTGGTGGAGGAGAAGTTTTTTATAATGTTTTTCTAAGGTATTGATATTCATTGATTTTAAATTTACTGGACTGACGTTATATATTTTAGATATTCAATAGGAGAACGACTTTTTGAATAATTCAATGCGATGGATGGAGGTCGAGTTATAATAGTCCCTTCAAATCTCATACTGATATCGTGAACATCATCTCTGAATGATATTTTTTCAGCCTATGTGTGAAACTCGTCTGCGTTTTATTCCTAGAGTGACCCAAACACATGTGTTTTGTATGACTTGTATTCAGCGTTGATATTCTGAGGTGATACATGAACCTAGACAAAATCTCCATAATTGAATTTTGAAAGCACTGAAGATTCGCATAGAAGTGATTCGCTTTTTTTGTTAAGATATTGCCTCTTACTGAAAATTACAAACTACAAATTTGTGGTTTTTTCATCGATTTTTCTAAAGCATTTGACTGTGTGGATCAATATGTACTAATCCAGAGAATGCATCGCTATGGGGTTCGTGGAGTTGCACAAGATTGGATGTGGTTCTATTTAGAGAACAGGTCACAAACAGTGATAATCAAAGGTGTTCACAGTCAGTCCTTGGCCTACAAGCAAGGAGTTCCACAAGGGTCTATACTCGGACCACTGCTTTTTCTTATTTATGCGAACGACTTGATACAAAACCTAAATAGTGTTTCAAAGGTACCTATGCAGAGGATACAAATGTTCTGGTCACTGATTGTAATACATTAGCACTTGCAGAAACAACACAATCCATATATGAGAAAGTGATGAAATGTGCTGATAAAAATCATTCAGCACTAAATATTAGCAAAACAGCATTAGTCAAATTCTCAATGCAGAACACCACCGAAACCCTCAAAATATATAAAGACAGCCAACTAGAGGTGACATCCAAACCAGAAACAAAAATGCTAGGTCTAATTCTAGATCATAGGCTCAATTGGGGTCCTCATATAGATTCACTATGTGATAAACTACGAAAGAACTGTTATGTACTGAGAATTATGTCGAATCATTGTAGAAGAGAGGTTCTCCTAAATCTGTATTATGCAACTATTGGCTATCACTTGCGGTATGAAATCTTGAATTGGGATATGAGCTCCCCTGCTGAAAGAGTATTTATTTTACAAAAGCGCGCGGTCAGAATAATTGCTAGTTTAGGATGGCGACACTCATGTAGAAGCTCATTTAAAGAGCTGGAAATACTCACAGTTGCTGGTCTGGTTATATATGAGATGTGTCTCTACGTTTATAGAATAAAGAAAAATTTAGCGCAAACCAGCAAAGCCACCCATACGCAACTAGGTTAGAGGGTTGCTGATAGCGAATCCTTATCGAACCTCCCTCTATCAGAAGAGTCACCTATACCTTGGACCCAAACTATATAACAAGCTAGATGTTTCTATTAAGGACTCAATGAACATCTGCATATTCAAAAGACAATTGAAATAATACCTCATTGATAGAAACTGCTACACCGTTGACGAGTTGTAATAATTGCTCCCGATAAAAAATGTTAATTTCCTTGATATGTACAGTTTAGTATCTTATACTGTTCACAAGTGAAATAAATATTATTATTATTATCAGTTTCGAATCCAAAAAAGCTACCATTTTAACACTGTTAATATAAGTTGTGAATTTGAGGTCACCATCGAATATCAGTCCTGAATTTTTCGTTGAATTTGATGGTCTAACTACGTGTCCATCTGTTTCCAGGTAAATTAAATTTTTTTATGCTTCTCTCCGATCCAGAGAACTCAAAACTAGTAGACGTTTCATTAGCGTCAATTTGTAGAAATTGTTGCCTTGATCTGTTGATTAACAATTTTTTTGGCTACTCAATATGAGTAGCCATATGTTCTATTTTTTTATATTCTAAAAAAAAACTGTATTTTTCATTCATATTTACTTGATAAACAATTTGTTTTGAATAAATTAATTTTTGAAATTTATATTTTATAAATGCTACCACAAAAACAACAATTTGTTACTCCTTGTGACACACGATTTTTGTGTAAAAAAATACGGAAAACTTTTTTTACACAAAAAGAACAAAAAATGTCAGTAATTAAATTAAAGGGGATTATATTTTTTGGATCTACACGTCATTGTATAGAGTTAATTTGTTTAAATTGATTGCTTTCTTCGTTCTTTGTTTTGGAAGATTTCCCACATTCATTTGTATCAAGATAGAGTAGTAGAAAGGCAAAAATTTCAATAATTCTCAACCAAATGCCTCAATATTAGTTGCCTTCCCGTGGAAGCTGCAGTGAAATGTTCGGCGTTCGATTTCGAGGCTTCGTATTGTAACTGTTCGCTCTGGGATGCCATATTTATCTTTGATATCCGAGTCCATAGATGACATCTCTATGAGGAGAGTTGTCACTGTCTCCACTCATCTGAAAATAAGTATAAAAAATAGTTATGAAATATTAGTTTGCAAATTCTACAAACATTTTTATTACTTTGACGTATATGTCTCAGAATCTTCATGTGGCCATATAACCAACAAGGAATGAAATCTATTGATTGATTTATTTCTCTAGAGGAGGAATTCCCCTATTGCAGACATTTTCACGAAGAGAAAAACTGCTTGACTGGGCGTAATCAGGCGACATAGTATGATAAAAATTTCACTTCAAAATAACAATGATAGTACGTCTTCAAGTGTTTTGTTTGAACTGAATGCTATGACGACACCCAGACTATAAATAATTGTCTAGTAATCAGTACTAAAATAGTGAATGCATGCTCTCCAAAAAACCAGTCCTTTTTTCTCACTCTTTTTTGCCAAACCAGTCTATTGATGTTTTGTAGTTGTGAATAGAATGTTTGGGAGTGAATAAGTTGACAAAGAAGTCTGTTTTGTTCCTATGGTGAGTTATTTGATATGATTTCTTGCCTAATACAGTGCAGTAATTTTTCTTTCATTTTATACATATTATGCATACAATTTTAATTTTCAGTGTTTTTGCAGAGAAGTTCAGTTACATTTTATTTTTAGATTGATCGTGAATATTTACTTGGGTAAATTTTCGTTTTGAGGGCCACGGCGATTTTGAAAAAATTTTTGAGTGTACTTACGTATTTTGATGTGTAGATTACGAATCCGAAAGAAAAAAGCGGCGCTCTCCTTTATTTACAAAGTTACGGCCCTTCAAAGTTCAGAAAAGGGCGACTTTTCAGCCTTCTTTTTTACAAAATAAACTATTTAAAAACACAAACATTTATTCACTAGGTCACCTCTACACCTTATTCCTCCTTTGACACTTTTCACTTCAATAATCAATATTTTTCTTATAAAAAACTTGATTTAAAAACGAATGCTTCTCCTGGTGACATTCTTCTATTTCTAGGTTAGTTACTAGTGACATATCAAAAAAAAGCGGTTGGTATTTGCCGTCGCCCACTATTTCAAATTCGTAATACACCACCAAAAACCAATTTACGATCTGAAGAATGAAGGTAAAAACCATTTGAATTACTTTAGGAATATTGACTGCCTCAGTCGTACCAACCATGCCATTGATTAAAAACGTAAAATACAGATATATGTAACCGAAAAGCAGCTCCGTACATTTTTAAATATTTTTATTGGAAAAATGTTGATTATTGAACTGAAAAGTGTCAAAGAAGGAAGAATGAGGTGTAAAGGTGATTTGAGTACACTCAAAACTTTTTTCAAAATCGCCGGGTACCCTCAAAACGGAAATTCACCTTCCAATTTTCACAGATTGGCATTTTTTGAGGTCCGCAAACAGCCAGTAGTCGCTGGAAGTCAAATCTAGTGAATACGGTGGATGACGGAGCAATTCGAAGTTCAATTCTTGTAATTTTGCCATAGTTTCAATCGACTTCTGACACAGTGCGTTTTCTCGCTGGAACAATGTTTTCCTCCTTGCCATATGAGGTAGGTTCTTTGCAATTTTGGCCTTCAAACGCTTCAATAACGCTTTATAATATTCACTGTTCTCTGGTGTTACTGCCTCATTTGGACGTCCACTGCGTTCTGCATCATCTGTGTCTTTACGGCCACGTTTTAAAGCAATTGCTTTGCTTGAATGGTATTTTTTCTGTTCGAAATTGTTTTTGATACATTATTTTAAATATAACAGAAGTAGTGTCACTTTTAACATAATAACTCACAAACTCATGAGTAGAATATCATGAAATTGCAACAACTTTCTTTTGAAGGTTAATACTAACTGAAAAAGAAATTGAGACTTGCGCCATCTACGTGTTAGATTCGAGACTTTTCAACTCATGTAGTATGTAGGCTACAAAAATATTAGTATCAGGACAATTTGAACTTTTCAATATGACCTTTAGAATTCCTCAGTGTTCTATTTTGGGGTCCCTCGTATTTTCACTATTTATTAATGAATACTTTATTCATCTGACGGCTTAGCATGTTATGCCAATGATACCACAATGTCTAGAGATACTGAAACTCCTTAGAACTTGAAATGAAAATGAATATACAGCCTAAAGAATTTACTAATTGATGTGTGAGAAATTATTCCCAGCAAGGCAGTGTATATGCAATTATCTTCAAGGAATATATCTATGACCAATTCTCATATAAGATTCATAGATGAGAAATTAGCATACTTCACTCATTCCGACACATTCCACAGCAGTGTATAGTTGCAACCGGTTGTATAATAACATTCCTAGGGAATACAAGGAAAGACCACTGAAAAAGATATTGAAAAGCTTGTTTCTCGCACGACAATGGCATTATTTGCGTTTCTAATAACTCAACCATGCCATCAACTATACTGACGAACGATTCTCTACTTACAGACCCCTACGACTGTAAAGAATGATTTATTATCATTGAACCCCACGGGACATATTTTGGTGTCTCCTTTTCGATGGTCTGCTCTATTAGATAAATTCCTCATAGTAGAAGGGGACTGTGGATAATTTTATTGAACCCCGTGGGACATATTTTGATGTATTATTTTCGAATGTCTGCTATATTAGTCGTAGGGAACTGTGGATGATTTTATTGAATCCCACGGGACATATTTTGGTGTCTCCCTTCCGAAGATCTGCTCTATTAGATTAATTCTTCAAAGTCGTAGGAGACTGTGAATAATTTTATTGAACCCCACTGAGAATATTTCGATGTCTCCTTTCGAAAATTTTGCTCTATTAAATAAATTCCTCAAAGTCGTAGGGGACTGTGGATGATTTTATTGAAACCCACGGAACATATTTCGGTGTCTCCTTTCCGAAGGTCTGCTCTATTAGATAAATTCCTCATAGTCGTAGGGGACTGTAGATAATTTTATTCAAACCCACGGAACATATTTCGGTGTCTCCTTTCCGAAGGTCTGCTCTCTTAGATAAATTCCTCGTTTCTGTGTGTCTTTTTGGTTGTACAAAACGTCAGGTTAATTTCAATATTGTAACTTTTTTAGTGCTTGTGAAAAAAAGTGTTATACAAATTTCATGTAACCCCTTTAAGGGGCTGTATCTTAACAAGGAATGCTCTAATGAAATTTCTTAATATGAAAAATCCTATCTTTTTTTCGATGAGGAATCACCTCCTTAAATGTTTCACATTTATTCAATTACACCCTGTATATCTATTTAGGCTATCCTTACATAATGTTGTCCCACATGATCTATTTGTCATTTTAAGTATCAGTATCACTTCACTTTTTTTTTTAATCTTTTAGTCTTTGCTGAGTTGAATAGCACCTCTTATAGCTGAACAGCGCCTGTTCATTATTTATATGAGTTATACATTATTCTTTAACTAGATGTTTTTTTGAATATGATAAATGAAGACATTTAAATTATTATCCCAAACGGTGAATAGTGAGTATTAAACTTTAATCATTCTCACACGAAGATATCCATGATTCCACGGCCACTTCATTTATCATGATTTCCCGAAAATAAAAACGGAGGGGGGGTGTTAAATCCGGAGACTATGGTGGCCATAGTTGAAATTTATTTTTTGAAAACGAAACACAGGCAGTGCAAAAAAATCGTTAAGGTGCTCTGAGAGCGGTGTCTGTGCGAAAGTAACGATTTACGTTGGATTTGAATCGCTGGAGATTGAATCCATTTAAAAAAACGTTCTCATCAGAAAGTTTATTCTGGACAAACGCAGTTCTTCAACTGAAAGAGTTTTTAAACAGTGACGCTCGAAGTGTACTGAGTTGAACCTCAAAACGATAACCAGCCATACATTTATCCATCCTCACAAACTTTCACATGTATAATATTAGTATAGAGTATAGATAGAAAAATTGAAGAACGTTGTGGATATTTTGAGTTGAACTCTGCAGCAACTTCAATGCCTCTCTGTCTCCATTTGAAATGAGACACCCTGGATTTGCAAAAGAACATATGTATTTTCAATATTTCATCAATGATTGTAGATAGTGAGCTATTACTTCGAATAATTGTTTTGAGTTCATGATGTTTCTTACCCCCATATATGAAATTCAGTTCCACGTATCAATATTTGTGGGTGAAAAAAAATCAGATCTTCCAGAGTGAAACGATTAATTTGGTCAATATAACTATGTTCAACGTCATAGAAATAGTATAGAGCACAACAAACAAAAATAAACTTTCTCAAGCTCGGTCTTTTTGAGATACTCGCTATAGCTCCATTTACAAATTTCCTACTCGTATCTCCTAAATTGAGCTTGATGTACTACTTTTGAGGACATTATGCCAAGTCAATTGACTAAATGTTTGCTGGGAGCAGTATTGTCACAATTCTGGTGAGTGGAAATATTATTTTCAATGAATTCATGCCGTCAGACGTTTCAACTTTGAACCCAGGAAGGAATGAACCTAATTTCAAAGTAAATAAAAAACATCATTCGAATACTATTTACATCAAATAGCATGCCAATTAATGAATTTAATATTGAAGTAACTACTTAACTGATTCGATAACATTATATCATCAACTTGTCTAATAAATTTGGTTGTTTTCTTTTTCAATTATTTACTATCTTAGATTTGCATGTTGTTTGTATTCGCGTCTTCAAAGCAATGTCGATTATTTTACTATCCGCAATGACACATTTGTGATAACACCTCAACACGAAAACACCTAGAACTAACAAACTCTGCTTTCACACAACAGAACGACAATACTCTTTTCGACGCGAGTTAAGAATATAGTTAATTTCCTGTTGAAGCCAAGTTGGTGAAACTCGTGTCAAGAAAAGGGTTACAGTTCTGGTGTTTGTTTTATTTATTCTACACCAGTAATGCCAATTCTACTTATCACAAGAAATTGTGTTGTTTCCTTTCTCTATTCCAAAGAATTCACAGTGTTGTCACTGTTCGAAAATGAGCTTAGATATTTAGAGATACGTTTCGTACTCTTTCACTGTTATCAAGCAACATGGTGATTTTTTTCGAAATAATTGTTCAGCATGAAACCAAGAAAAAGCAACATATTCTTTTTATCCTTGCGTTTTTTATGAAAGAACCACAAAAAGGGAAGGAATTAACGAATCTAAGAAGCAATAATTACGATAGTGTAGTTCCGTGCTAGTGGACGGACGTGCTGAGGGCCTCCTTCATTCACGCCGGTATCCAGGCCGGAGTGGTTCGGATAACCTTGTCAAGAGGTCCATGCATACGAAAAAAAATTAAAATATCTTCCACATAAATAAACAATAGAAAGATATGATGAAAAATAGTATGATGAATGGGAGAGGTTCAACTATTATAGCTGCTTTCAAGCCTAACCTTTTAAACCTAACCTTTTAAACCTAACCTTTCAAACCTAACCTAACAATTCGAGCGAAGGTTATTTTATATCACTTTAACATGTCCCTGGGGTATTTTTCTGACCTGAGACTATTCTCTATCGTTCTTGTGGTTTTGAAACTCGTCCTCGTTCATGTTTTTTGAGAATCCTCCCAATTCAGTTCAGAATTTTTTTTTCATTGGCCGTTCGCTCCACTGTCATCGTGGTGTGTTGCTGTATAGGTCGTAAGGCTCGGTTGATTCCGGCCTCATTATATGCGTTAACCAACATGTGGCCATTCCGATTCGCTGATATGTCTTGCCTCTTCTACCAGAGTCTTAACAAGCCCACTTTCCTCTTGTAGCCTTTCCGGTTCGCATATATTGATGATGATTGAAGTGCTTATTAAAATATGGATTGGTTTTCTGTATAATTCTTGCTCCAGTCTGCTATTATCTCGTCTTTTCACTGATATATCGTGAAAAGCGATTCTCTTTTCTTTTTTTTCCATTGTGAACTAGACTTACGGATTCCAAGAATTCGATAAGTCAGGTATGAGAATCTGCAGACTACGACTGATATACCTCACACACAATAACAAGAAAAATACAGCTATGAAAAAGAAGAACACAAAAACCTGAACGGAGTGTGCAGCATACAATACTCGAACTGCAAAAAAGTATATATCGGCCAAACCAAGAGAAAACTGATCCAAAGGTACAACGAGCACAAAAAACATACATAAACCCATCACACCTCGCCACACACACCATACAAAACAAACATAACTATCCCCACCAGAAAACATCAAACTCATAAAAGGAGTCAATAAAGGAATCTGTATGAACTGGGAATATCTAAACATCCATAAATTCAAAAGTCATAATTCACTTATCGAAGAACAAATACAAATCAAAACACAACAAGACCTAACCTGATATAACCCAAGTACAGACAAATTCAATGAGACATCCGGATGAAAAAGAGGACTGCCCAAACTGTAATTAATGAAGCATCAACAAATTCACCGAGGCGATCTAACCGTATAAAAAAACAAACAAGAAGATACAACGTTCAGTTTGAGTATAACCATGAAGATGATAGCACAGTCTGCTATCGAAAACACTCGCATATGATAATTAAAAGTTAATGAAGCTTCAAATCCTTTTTATAAACAGGTACTAATATAAATATATATATAGAAAATATTCCAAATTGGCTTCAGCAAAATCAGTTTCTAGTGTGAACAACAACACTTAATGGCCAATCCCGAAATAGTATTGTTTCATCAAATGTTCAAGGCTGTTGGTAATGTTCAACACGTTCTTTAGGACAATTGAAGTATATAAATGAACAATTTGTTGTTATCATGTACTGACAAACAATTACTTGCAAAAGGAATTATTTATTCAGTTCCAAACAACACCAACATTTTTACAATAATATTTATGAGTAACTGAAAAGGTTACTGGTGATTATGATCAAATTCATCTATTAAAACTTTCACAGAGATGTGTATATCATGCACATGATTTGATTCCATATACAAACCTGAAGAAGAAATCCATCCAAATCAACGACTCACCTCGAATAATGATAAGGAACGCCATGCAATTTGATATATGAGAGAATATCGATGAGAAATTTCACTTTCAAAGGAATTAAAATCAGTCGTTGTGTTGAATCTAACTGTGTGCGTTTCTCTGTATATTTGATGTGCCTGTCATCCAGAGTACAATAGCATAAATTTCAGTTCGGAATCATATACGGTTATCAAGGTACAAGACTTTGAATCTGCTTGCCTGTCGAATGCTAATGTGACGTCACGAGATATTTGCGATTGCCGGTACTACAACCAAACTGTTATGAGCAAAGCGTTTGATGTTTTGTTCGTGGTCATGAAATATGGCAATAAGAATTGAAAAAATGAGTTTACTACCAAATTCAATGATTGCAAGCGTTTCTGAAGTCCAGTTGGTCAATTATTTTATAGGGCGAACTGGAGGATTGAAGCGATTGAGTGAATCGTTGTGTTCAGATTATCATTGATATGCCCTGTTTTTTGATGATATTATTTTTTTATTATTATCTTCTGATAAATGTGATGAATTTACTTTGAAATGATTCTCACAACAAAAACAAATTCGTTTAACGAACTCCTATTTGTGTCAACTCACAGATGACGATCATAAACATATAATTCATGAATGGTTTCACGAGTATTGAAAATAAATTTTTATTGGTTTTTCAAATGATGCCTACGGATAGGATACAGAATAACGTTATTTTGGCTTACTCATAACTTTCTTCTTCGAATATTTATTAATTCCCTCCAGCTAGTCATAATAAAATAGAAATGTATGTAACAAACATATTATAACCTTGTTTACAGAGTATTCTATTTGAGTAATCTAAAAAATGATCTTGAATTCTGAGTACCCACATATAGAAAAAGCACTCACTCTGATGATAAACTACTTATATTAACATTTCTTGAAAATCAATAGTACTACTGGTATCCAATCTTATCTGTAAGAATTATTTCTTGTGAAAACGGACTATTTCAGGAGTTATTAGATGTTTGAGCTCATTTTTGTATATGTTATCTGTTCAAATGAGTTGCATCATAAAATATCTCTGAAATGATTTTTTCATTATCTGCTATTCTGACTAAAACTCAATAAACATTGATATTTTCTGGAATATACTCACATTATTAGAATTCCGCTATCTTATATAAATATCATCAAGATAAGAGCCCATCGATGAAACAGATTCTGTCTTTCGCCAGGCATACAGAATGTTGTCGAGAAAACACCTAGCCATGCTGACATTCTTCTGTGGAATGTCCATCTTCTGCATCATATTCGGCATCCTGGTCATCATTCTCTGGTGGGTCCTTCACGATGCCATTCTACGCAGCCAGTTGGTACTTAAACCGGGAAATACCGCTTACGATGTGTGGATCAAAAATCCTGTGCCTTTGACCCTCAAATTCCACATGTTCAACTGGACAAATCCCGAAGATATATATAATACTTCCACAAAACTAAAGTTCCAGGAACTAGGACCTTATGTCTACAGGGAGACCAAGGAGAAGGTAAACGTCACGTGGAATGCTAATGAAACGGTCACATTCAGGACTGTAAAGACGTGGTGGTTCGACCAAGAAAGTAGTAACGGCAGTGTCCATGATGCTTTCACAACTATCAACCCCGTAGCATTGGTGAGTAGATTATAAATTTGGGAAGAGTTTCTTCTGAATTGATTCGTTAATGAAGGCTTCAACTCCCTATGTAATAGGTACAAAAACATTAATAGAAGAACTATAAGGACTACAAAACAACTTTATCATATGAAAAAATGAAAAAGTCTGCAAACAAACAAAAAAAAAGCTGGGCAATCATCAATGACAGGGGAAAATAGAATATTGCTCCTACGAAAACTGACCTAGAATCTGATTATAATAAATATTACTGCACTGTGTCACATAATTTATCCAAAGATATAAAATCCAATATTAATCCTTTGACTCTTCTTAAAGACAACTCAGTTTCAGAGACATTTTTTTTCATGGCTACAGATGTTATGGAAATTAGAAAAATTCTTAAACAAATTAAAATGTTTAACTGGTTGGGATGACATGAGCATAAAAGCCTGTACCAAGTTGCCCAACTCCGCTATCACCGCTTTGGTAGAAGCTATAACACAAGCTTCATAACGGGTGTATTCCCGGCATGTTTAAAAACAGCCATTGTTATTTCTTTGCACAAAAGAGGCGACACAAACAATCCTGCTAACTTTATGCATATTTCTTTGCTAGCTACCCTTGCTAAAATCATAAAAATAAACTTGTTGAACAAAGAATTATGATGTTTGTGAATTAGCATAATATTATTAGTAGCAGTCAGTTTGGGTTTCAGAGGTTGAAAAACACGGAAGATGCTATGTTTCATCTACTGGAAACCGTTTATCTCAATTTAAGTAATCGTGAAATAGCAGCGGCAGTTTTTTGCGATCTTTCAAAAGCTTTCGATAGCGTGGATCATGAAATTCTGCTGCAAAAACCAGAAGTGTATGGCTTTAGGAATATATCTTTGAGATGGTTCAGATCATACCTGTCAGAACATACTCAAAAAGTTGAACTATCGGAAAACATATCCCATCTCCAGTTACTTGTGGTATTCCACAAGGATCGGTTCCAATAAATTCGGTACTTCTCGTTCTCCGCAACGGATTCAATATCCCCTGGAGCGTGGAGCAACACCGGTGTCTCGTCAATACCGTAAGAGTGCCGTAGATGGTAATATAGCACTCTTAGGGCCGCGTTATGTCGATGGATATAGGCCGAGACCGCATATGCTGGACATGCTGATGGCAAGTGCATTAGGGTCTCGGGCGCCTCGCAGCAGGCCCTGCACCTTGTGTCAGGAACCTCTATACCCATCACGCGACTGTGGTAGACTAAAGTGTTGAAGACACCATCCTGGCAAGCCATGATGAACCCCTCAGTTTCCGACTTCAGCCCACTCGATCTTAGAAAAGCGAACGTCAGTAGCTTTGATAAGCCAAGGTTTTCAATGTTATTGAAGAAGACCCCATGCATCGGCTTATCCCTGTGTCTCTGCAGATGTAAGGTGATCTCTGCGGCTTTTATCTGAGCTTTTTGCTGAACGGGTTCCAACTCGGTGACAGAGTTGTAGTCACCTCGTTCAGAGTCGAATAACACGATGTTTACGATTGCCCCAAAATTTCCAATAATTATTCTTATTTTTGGGCAATTGTAAACATCTCATATTTCGATGAATTATCCAACCTTATTACTGCCATTTCAAGGACATAACCACAACCCTCCAAGATGCCTCCACCCAGAAATATTATGTGGTGAATATTGAACTTCAGATTTTAAAAGACTTTTTATTATAATTTTTAAAAATCGTTTACCATTACCCCAACTAACCCTAATCGATCCATTTCCAGAGTGCAGCTTTCGTTGCAAGAAACTGGCACTACATGATAAAGAAAGGACTTTCCGTATCTCTCAGATCTTTGATAGATTCAATTGCAATCACTCAATCAGTAGGAAAAGTCCTCTTCACTGGATATGAGGATCCATTGATGACCACGGCTTCCAAAATTCCTTTCCTCTCGCTGAAAAGTCTGCCTTTCAAGGACAAGTTTGGATGGTTTTACGGTGTAAGTACAGGTTGGTGGAACTTACTTCATAATTATTTGTCAGTATCTCAATTTATAATATTCACAGACCAGTCTCCAAAAGGTCTTGGATAAGTTACAGTTATAGTTTTTGAAAAACGTGGAAATGACAAGCTTTCATAGGAAGGAACATTTTAGACAATCACATAATAATAATAGTAACTTTATCCATTCATTCGAAAGGTTTCACACAACATGATAATAATAGTGATAGTTGAATAAAGAAAAATGACAATAAGTGCAAAAGCACTCACTTCGTATAACAAGAACAATATAAATTGAAGAACTCATTAAAACACAGATATAATATATAGATATGAAGTTAAACCTATAACAATAATGATAGTGAAAAGGATATATAAGAGTTCAAGATATAACTATCGTTAGTGGCAATTCCACTTACACCACGTAAAATACAGTGAAAGGGATATATAAAAGTTAATGAAAGTGAAACTTTTAAATAATAATGTATACCTATTCACTAGTAAAAGAAAATGGCACAATAATTGGAACACGACAAAATACAGGGTGTAACTGAATAAGTGTAAAACATTCAAGGAAGTGATTCCTCATCGAAAAAAAGATAGGATCTTTCATATAAAGAAACTTCATTGGAGCATCCCTTGTTAAGAAACAGCCCCTTAAAGGGGGTACATAAAATTTATATAACAATTTTTTTCTCAAGCACTGAAAAAGTAACAATATTGAAATTACCCTGACGTTTTGTACTACCAAAAAGAAACTTAGCCAGTAATTTATTTGGTTTACCCCATGGTTGTACGGGTGGAAAACGCAACCCATTAAATTTATTTCCAATGTAACTTTTCGTCTTATTATTTGTTTACCATTAAAAAATCCGATAGCCTGTTTCATTCTAAACAAAAAATGTCTCTTGGGTTTTTTGCCCAAAATGAACCAGTTCGCAGCAAAAAATTATTTTACGAACAACTACAGAGATGCATCGTCATAAATGCGAACTGAATTTATTGTTATTTTGTAGTTAGTACCTGCATTGAACGATTAAAGGGTAATAAACAAAACTAATTTATTGATAACAAAACACACAACATGTAGAAATCATAGTAAATGTTCAATATGTCTACCTTCAGACATTACGCATGCATCTAGACGTCGGCGCGTTGAGCCACGTATTCGCTCAAATATTCCTGGAGTCTTTCTGATCACCCTGCACGCATGGATGATGCGGTTTCTTAAGTCCTCTACATCGCGAACAAGAGTATGATAAAGCAAATGCTGTAAATGGCCCCAAAGAGAGAAATCGAGAGGATTGAGATCCGGGGATCGAGCGGGCCAGTTCTGTGGTCCTCCTCAACCTATCCACTGATTTGCATGCTGACGTACTACTTGACTAAAATGGGCGGGAGCCCCATCATGCATAAAAAACATATCCCTTCTGACGCCCAAAGGAACTTCCTCCAGCAGTACTGGATGCACTTCTTTCAAAAATTGAACGTATGCCTCACCATTCAATCGAGGAGGTAGAAAATAAGGCCTAATAAAATCATCCCCAATAACTCCGAGCCACACGTTAAAAGAAAACTGTTCTTGATGGTTAGTTTCGACAATAGCGTGAGGATTTTCATCAGCCCATATGTGGTAATTATGAAAATCAATAATCTTGTCACGAGAAAAACTACATTCGTCTGTGAATTCTATCGTCTTCAGAAAGTCACAATTTCTTCTAATCATTTCCAGCATCCAATTGCAAAATTCAAGACGGTTCGTAAAGTCTCGCGATAACAGTGCCTGTACTCGTTGCAGATGGTAAGGGTATAAGAGTTGTTCCTTCAAAATTCGAAAAACCGTCATATGATCAACATTTAGCTGGAAAGGAATCTTTCTAGTACTGGTAGTAGGTTGTTCTTCAATCAAATTAAGTACTGCTTCCTCAAGCTGTGGTGTTCGTACTTCTCGATGGCGACCACAATCCTGCGATCTTTTGTCGAATGAACCATATTCTCGTAATCGTTGATGAAGTCGAGCAAATATTCTATGTGAAGGATGCTGCCGTTGAGGATACATTTCAGCATATCTTCTAGAAGCTTCTAACCCATTCCCCTGCGACAGACCGTGAACGTAATACATATCAGCCATTTCCTCATTTGTGTACGCCATTTTAATAACAAGTGAATTATTAAAGTAACAAATTGAGAACAGAACAATAACAGACAATTAGTATTGATTCAATTTCGAAAATTCACACACTGACAGCGTCATACCAATTTAATTTTCACTATTGCTAATAGCAACCTACTAGGTAGATTAGTTTCGTATTTTCGCATTTATGACGATATATCTCTGTAGTTGTTCCTAAAATAATTTTTTGCTGCAACTGGTTCTCTTGCCTCAGCAGTACATAACATATTGATCAACATCGAAAAATGTACCTGCATTTTGTGTTGAAAATAAAAGAGATCTGATGAAAATTAGGATTATTTTTTATTTGACAGGTTGGAAATATCTAAAATTTCCATAGAATCAGTTCAATTGACCTCAATGAATCATGGAAAGAAGGTAAACAAGTTTCTCTCATTAAATCCATAGTTTGGAAATTATCACATAATAATCAATCGACAAAACACTTATGAAATTAAAATTAATGATTCCAGAAAACACTTCATTGAAATTCAGCTGTGAATGCTATATTACCGAAATGTTTTTCTTCGAAAGGTTGAATGTAATAAAATTTCCATTAATCCAATTTTTTCATCTCTAAGAATATTATAAAAAGGTCAACAAGTTTTGAAAAGGAATTATTCAGAGAACTGTTTCAAAATCATAATTTGACTTCGAAGAAAATTTCGGAGATGGGAGTTGAATTGAATAAAAAATGCAAATATGAAAAAAAAACTCATATGTACTCTTCTGTTTCCGGAAGATAACAAAACACTTCAGGAATTACTTCTGTCCATGTCTTACTTTTAGACATTTCGAAGGCCTTCGACCGTCTATGGCACGAAAGTCTTCTGCATAAGCTACTTGCGTTCGACCTGCCTCGGGGCCTGATCCGGTGGATTGGGTCCCTTCTGAAAGACTTAACATTTCAGGTTAGAGTAGAAGGTTCTCTGTCTGATAACAGAGAGATCCTAGCCGGAGTGCCACAGTGGGCCGTGCTCTCTCTCACGCTGTACTCACTTCACACCAGTGACATTCCGAGCTCTGAGCGTGTGAAGATATCTCTAGACGCCGACAACACGGCTCTCCTCTCATCTTCCATGGGTAGAGAGCTCGGGATTGTCTACATGCAACGTGCAATGAACGACCTCGAGCGCTGGTACTTTGGACGGAAGATCCGAGTGAACCCGGAAAAGACTCCGGCGATAACCATAGGAAGAACGATATCTTATCCGGCCAGAAAAGTGAGGATCTCTGTAAGGGAGATTGACTGGCAGGCGCGGTAAAGTACCTCGGTCTTCTGATAGACCGTAGGTTCACTTGGAACCTGCACATTATGTACGTTAAATCAAAGATAGAGGGTCGGATAGCTAGTCTGTACCCTCTGATCAACAGAAGATCAAAAATGAGCCTTAAAAACAAAATTACCATCTACAGCACGCTGTTCAAGCCTGTTCACATGTATGCTTCAGGTGTGTGAGGACAAGCGGCTCCATCTAACATCTCCATCCTGGAGAGATAACAAAGTTGATACGGATGATTGTGAATTCTCCGTGCTTCGTGCGGAATGAAGCCATCCGCAGAGATTTGCAGCTGCCTTCCATTCAGCACTCCATTCAGTCAAGGACTCGGCGAGTTTTTGATAGCACAGAAACTCACGAAAATCCGTTAGTTGAGGAAGCTATAGATTATGCTGTAGACGACCCCTCTCGATATAGAAGGCCCCGACACTTTGTCGGATGAGATCATCATGTTCCCCGTTACCGGATGAACAAATTTTTCATCCATCCCACCCCAGCCAGGTAGGGGTACCCGGTGAAGGGCGGTACTGATGTCTGAGGACGATCATACCGCCACCATCTCTTCAGTCATGAACCCATTCGTCTCTCTGACAAATATCAGCTGCAAGAGGAAGGGAAGTAGGCTTCAACCTGATTGAACTGAGGATGAGCTTGGTCAACTTCATGTTGATAATGGACACTATTATTATATTATATTATATATTATATTATATTACACAATTATTGGAACGGACAAATATATCCGTTCCAATAATTGAAAATCGATTCCGGCAGTTGTGTCGGTAACAGGATATCTTCGTGGTATTAGGGGGTCACTGTTTGGTGTGAATTTTGGGGTGGCGGCGTCATCGATCCATATTCCTTTCAGAACGATGTTGGCCTGGCGATCACTGTCGGCGGGCACTATAGGTCGATAGTCACCAATGGCCTGAATTGGATGATCTGAACATCAACGACATGTGGTTTCAACAGAACGGCGCTATGTGCCACACAACACATACCACATTAGATATTCTGCACGAACGATTTGAGACCATAGTCATCTCACCAAGATCGTACGTTTTGAACCTGTTAGACTTTTTCTTGTGGGGTTTTCTCAAGTCACAGGTAAGCAACGTAGAACAAATAAATAATTGACAAGGTTCCATTGAAACATACATCAAGCTAGTACTTTAAAGAACAAAATGATTTATTTTGCTCAGATTAGAAAATCAATTCTAATCAATACTGTTATCATTGATTGTAGTTGAAATTAGAGACCAAACGCAACGCATTAACGATTCTATACCAGACAGCTCTATTTCGACTCGATATAGGTCTGGTCAGAGATGCTAAGCTGAACGACAAATGCATTGCTGTACTTAACTCTCTCCAGGAAACAAGCCTAAGTGAATAAAGGCGATGGTATTATAATTTAATTTTGTACTTCCAACAAGATTCATAGTGACTAACCCAAGCTTAGCGACGCGACAGGCAAATTGGTTGGGAAACATGGCCAGAGCAAAATTGAGGTTTTATTTGTGGAAATAGGCTATTGGTGAGGAAGCAGTTTTCCAGGAACGGCATTTTTTTTCTTTTGTAGACGAATACATACATAGTACATACCTTCATCGTACGATAGATAATTTATAGAATCTTTCAACTAGTATAAAAAGTAAGGTTTCCCAAAAATCGACTCAGTAGTTTAATCAGTTAGGCAAATGATCTTGATGAACTACTGTACTTACTTGTGATCTTGTTTTTCAGAGAAACGGTTCAGAGAATTATGAGGGAGTTTTTGAAATGGATACCGGATTCTCGGGCCACTTAGGTGAATTGAGGTCATGGAATTATGCAAAATACTCCAGCTTCTATCAAGGAGAATGCGGGGGATTGAAAGATTCCTCTTCCGGAGAGTTTTTCCCCAGAGAACTGACCAAGGAGAGTATCATCAAACTGTTTTCTCCGGATCTATGTAGGTTCATGGAACTGGAGTACGAGAAAGAAATAGTTATCAATGGCGTCGTTGGATACAAGTATTCTGCTGGACAGAGATTTCTGGATAATGGTTGGTATATTTTTTTGTTCGATCGAAAACGGCAAATATATTGGGTTAGTGGATTTATTCGGTAGGAGGGTTTATTATCGTTCAAACACTCATTTGAACATCAATTAGTCCGCGATTGGGCAAGCACAAATCATATGCTCTGCTGTACCGTCTTTCGATTGTCCAAGTCTCTATCCACATTATGATCCAAACAACATTGGCCTATAAGTAAGAGATCAATGAAAAACTCTGCACAAAAACATGGATTTTAATCAAAATCTGACAAAATTTTGTTCCAGTTTTCTCATATATAAAAATCATGCACCTGATCACTTACAGACTGATTCGGAGTATTACTCTTCAACAGTCTAGTACTGGTGAATCATCAGTCTAGTACTGCTGAATTAAAGGGATGTTGCTAGATATTTTCTCTAACAGATTTGCGCAAATCTCTGTTCAAAATTGTGACATCAAAGATTTCCGGTATGCATGTGTTAGATCCTACATAATTTCATTATTATTGATAATCATCTTTGTTTGTTTCAGGAACCCTGATACCTGAAAACAAATGTTTTTGTGAAGGCGACTGTATGCCTTCAGGAACTGTAAACGTCTCAACTTGTAAATTTGGATCACCAGCGTTTGTATCGTTACCTTATTTTTATAAAGCTGATCCATATTACATCAATAGTATTGAAGGTATGACACCAAGTGAAGAAAAGAGTGATTTTTTCCTCGTGTTGGAACCAGTAAGTCATTTTCAAATTTTCAATTACAATTTCAGATGGAATTATTTGTTCATACCAAAAAATCTGAAGAAATCATATCAATTACCTGATGATATTTTCTAGTGGAATTTCATATTAAGTTGTTTTAGTCATCTTTGTCACTATTTTTGTAAACAAGTTACAATTATGATGCCTCGGAGGCATTTTAATATTTCTTCTATATTGTACTCTCAATTTCTATATGAGTTATATGATCTGATTGATTTGGCCGTTACTTGATGAGGATCCATAGTAATTTCATAAACCACACCTTTCAGTTCGATTTTCGCAAACTATTCATTTTCAAAAATATATCACGACATGAATAACATGCATGAATAAAAATATATACCGAAAACACACTCACACGGGACAGTATTTGAACCACGAATCCAACCACCATCAATCGGCTTAACGAGGAATCATCAAGACTCTTGTAGACCGTGCTTTTGGGCTCTGTAATACAAAGGAAGGTCTCGAGAACGAACTAGGCATTATCAAAAAAGATTTTCAACGGAATGGTTACCCCAAAGTGATGGTGGTAGAGACTTTGGCTGATTGACAGCAAGAGCTTCGCAAGGAAGAGAAGCCGTCATAATCAGTGCTTGCACTTACCAACATCAGTGGAATGTCTGAAAGGATGAGAAGAATTGCTTTCAAGTACAACATCCAAACCTGTTTCAGATCCGAAAACACTTTCCGTAGCAGCCTCACGATTCCAGGAATTCAACCTATTTATGCTCAGATGGTCGTTAATGACCCAACGCTCTTTTTAATTTCTTTCGCACTTGTCGCTACAAGTTGAGAGGAAACATTCAGGTTTTTGGTAAGTCATCATTTCAAGTTTCGTCTGAATTGTTCGATTTTGTTCTGCGATAAACCAGTAAAAAGTGATACAAATTACATTGATGAGTAAGCAGTAATATTTTTAGTCATCCATTTTAAGGGCCGATTGGGAACTTAGATTACCCAATTCATTGAAATCAAGTGGAATGAATGAAAATTTATGTTATTCATAACCTGAAATTTGAAACATTATTTACATGGGTCGTTATCGACCCCTTGGGCAAATTTTAGTATGTTTTATATGTTATTTCAGGAAAAAAACAAATAACTACAGCTTAACTGTTGAAAGAAATAGAGAAGCTAGATGATGAATCCGAGATGCCCAGAGATATTATCATTACACCTCCTGAAGATAACGGATTTGATAAAGATGATGAAGAGGATTGTAACGATCCAGATAGATTGAATAGTCATCAGTTAGACGCGGAAGCAGAAACAAATATAACCAATGTCCACGAAACAGAAGACATATAATTTGATGAACAAGAGGTAAAGAATGGTGATTTAGCAGCAATAACAAAAACGAAGAAAAAGAAAAAATTCAATCAGAAAAGTTATTGTTATATGATGAGCTGTTTTCTCGGGTTTCGCTCCGTGTTCTGTGTATTTTCTCCCCATAAGGATCATTTTCACAACGTTTCGGCAAAGTCTCATTTGCCATCTTCTGGTGATGTCTGGTTTTTTCAACGGGCAGCTAAAAATAGTAAATATTCAATTGTATCACAATTTAATTTACACATTTGAATACACATATTAATGTGACATAAAACAAGAACATATGTACAATAATAATAATAATAATAAAAACGTGATCGTTAATACATAATATTGTTAATCTTATCTTGGCAGAACACTGACAATATTTACAATTTGTCATCATAATATTCCTGCAGGCTATAATAAGCTTTCATGAGCAGTAAATTTTTGACCGAATCCCTGAAACCTGAAACGTCTCTGCTTTATTATACCCCTAACTACCTGTGGTAAATGGTTGAAAATTGTTTTCCCTTCGTACATGTTAGAGTGTTTTGTTAGAGTCAATCTGGGTATTGACAGATGGATATTATTACTACTGTTCTGTTTTATGTTGTGGATTCTATGTGTATCTGGAGAATCAGTGTTATATCTCTTATGAATCAGGCAAACAACTTCGAGAATGAAGATGCTGAATAGAGTGAGGATTCGGTATTTAACGAAAAGTTGTCTACAACTATCCCTATGGTTTGTTTGCCCCACATAAAAACCGCAAAGATCTCTTTTGCAACACGAAGACCTAACTCAATAGTTGTTTACTACAGAATCCAAAATGCAATGCCATACCTTAGATGAGACTCTATTAGGTCAAAGTAAGTCGATCTAGCAGTGAATATATCAAGTTCATTGGAGACAATTCTGACAGCAAATGATCCTGAACCCAATTTTGTGCATAAAGATGTGATATGTTCTTTAAATTTTAAGTTATTGTCAATATGCAGACCAAGAAATTCAGTGCAAGTCGTTTCTTCTATCTTCCTACCATCTAATAGCAAGTTGTCATAACTAAATTTGGAGTTTACAATTTTGGTCTTGTCTACCCCATCCAAACAGCTGTTTCTATTGACGAGTCAATGATCCCTTATTTTGAAAGAAATGGATGCAAGCAATTCATAAGGGGATAAATTCGTTTTGGGTACAAGGCTTGGGTTTTAGCATCTTTTTGGGGCTATTGTATCAATTTTGATATATACCAGGGAATAAGAAAAGTCACTAAAGTTTCAGATGTAGGATTAGGTGAATCCGTGGTTTTGCAGTTTTTCGATATATTGAAAAATTATTATGAAAACTTATCATTTTCTTTATTCTTTGATAACTTTTCCACGAATGCCACTTTGATATCCAAATTAGGAAGAATTGGATTTGGTGGTACAGGTACAGTGAGAGAAAATCGTACCGACAAATATCCGCTGGAAAATAAAAAGACAATGAAGGAAAGAGAAAGAGGAGCTTATAATTTTGCCATGGACAGGAAGAATATCATATTCTCTGTTGGATATTTGACGTTTCTATGAACAATGCTTGGGTGCTTTCAAGAAAATTGGGATGCAAGCATGATAACTTGACCTTCAGAAGACAGGTAGTTTTATCCTTACTGTAAAAGTATGGTCAACCCCCACGATTTCCAAGACCATCAAGATCTCCATTTATACCACAAAGCCTTCGCTCATCCGGTCAGCATCTCATAAAATGCACACAAAAAAGAAGATGTTTAAAAAAAAGTCTATCTGTTTAAAATCTGTTTTTCCGTTAATCAGCTGTGCATTATGTCAAAGCAAAACAAATATCATTGCATGATAAATATTTTCAGAATATCATAAATAATAACCCCTCTGTTAGTTTCACAAAATAAATGAGAAAAATTACTGAATTTTTTATATTTCATTACATTTATTAGCCCAAGGGGTCGTTAATGACCCACATCAAAAGTTATTTTTTTTTCAACATTTTTCTTGTGGTATTCAATGCTCAAATGAATATATACAAAAATATTGAAAGGTTTTCAACAAAAAATAAATCATAAACAGGTTAAGAGGCTTTTGAAAGAAACATACACACCGAGGAGAAACCAGCAAATCGGGAATAGCAGAGCATGTTTGGACTTATCAACATAATATCAAGTGGTCCCAAACTGAGATCATCCACAGATAGAAACAGTAGTTCAGGAGGAAATTCAAAGAAGCTGCATATATGTTGTTCAACAACGCGATCAGCCAAGCAAGCGTAGAGATACGCAACATGTGGAAACCTCTAATCAAGTGGAAAACCATCAAAAATTTTAGATATCCTGGGCATCTTCAAACATGTTATTCACTACCAAAATACTACTATCATAGCGAAACATGTCTTGACATATTCTTGAAAATAAATAGTGTGTGAAAATCAGATCATAATGTGTAGTTTATGGAAACTGAATTATATGAATTGAATATTTCAAATATGATCCTGAAAAATTTCATCTATTATCAGTATGACAGAAATCATAATTCTATTAGGATATTTTTTCTCATTGCCTAAAATAACTTCAAATATATGATGAAGTTCAAACAGTCACAAAGAAATTGTCTCATCATTTCAAATCTGTTTAAAATCTGTTTTTCCGTTAATCAGCTGTCGCTTCCATATGAACGACAACTCTCAGAAGTTGAGGAACTTGTGCGAGCTAAGGACTAACGAGGTCTTACCTTTTAACGTGTGATTCCTAACACGGTTGTAGAATCATCCCAGCTTGAACCAGATAAATTCTCTCGAGGAAAATATCTGGTTGAGGCAGGAATCGAACCCACGGTCTTCCGATCGTGAGTCGGGCGCACTACCACCGCGGCCAATTCCACTACAAATACATGAATATATCAAAAGTTGTAGATATCTTGGACATCTTCAAACATGTTATCATCAATATTCCATGGAATATTTTTTCTAAACGCCGACAAAACTTCCGAATCCATAAGAAAAATAATAATATTTATTATAATAATAATACAGAACACTGTAGTAAGAAGATAAAGGTGAATAAATAAGAACTCGATAAGTGTTTTTCACACTTGTTTCGAGAAATTACATTGCAATTGAACTTATAAATAATAAACATACTGACTGACAATTGCGGAAATATGAAAAAATCCAATGAGTATCAGACTAAATCTAAAAATAAATATTAACAAATAATTCGCACATACGCATATAAATGTGTAATTATAAATTAAAACAATGTTTGATGCGTGTGAGTGTTTTAAGATTGTTTATATGGCATTTAAATGACACAAATGTTATAAGCGGTGTTATAAGGTAAAATGGACAATCCTGATGTACTAATATATAATATTGTAATATTGTAAAATAATAACAAGTTTGTTCTTTCACACATTTTTTACATTAATACAAACTTTATTCCAAATATTTTTTTTATCAACAAAATCAGAAATCAATTATTTTTGCTGTCTGATATGAACTGCCTCAATGACTTTTTGGAAGTGGTGAAATATATAAATGTTTCATTGTATTGGGAAGAGTATTTAGTATAAAGTTGAAACAGTCACAGAAATGTTGTTCAATTATTTCAAATACGTAACGATATCAGAAATTGCAGATGCTCTGTAGATCTCCAAACATGAAATTATCAATATGACAGACGGCATAATTCAATTGGGATATTTTCTCTCAATGCCTAAGAAACTTCAAATCCATATTTATTATTTTGAAAACTCGAAAAAACAACATGATATAATCACCTTCCATGGTTTGAGAATTTTATCAAGTTTTAATTTTGAACAATCACTTTTGATATCCGACGGATATATGTGGAGATTATTCAAAAAAAAAAACTATGGTATGAATGTTTCCACACACAAATTTTAGGATTCAGAATATTTATTGGCTGTAAGACTTTGTGAACCTACCTATACTTCATTTGAAGGAAATACTTTCCCAAAATCGTTCGTTATATTCGATCGAAACACATTTTGCATATTCAAGTTGGATTATAAAATGTTAGAAAGTCCCATTTCCTATGCTTAGTTTTTAACGAACTGTAATTAATGAGTGATTTTGAATTCAACAGAGAACTGGGATACCTCTACAAGTAGCTGCAAGACTTCAACTGAACATGCGCCTCCAATCAATAGAGGAAATCCGGTATGTAGTATCTTCAATAAACACCCCCAACTGTTAACGCAATTGAGATAGTTGGACTTATAACAAAAACACCTCACCATCTATTTTATCGATCCTGTCAAAGCTGCTTTGAAGCGGAGCTACTTTGCCAACCACAATTGTGGTTGGCAGCCTCCAAAAATATCCCGGTACAGAGAAAGGGTGATGAATAGGAAACTTCAATTTATGAGCGTACCGTTTTCCCTCCGCAACTATCACTCCTTCCCAGTTTTGATATCCTTCTACACCCATCTAAGACCTAGGAAGCACCTATATACGCATATAAGACCTAGGAGGCATCTGTATACCAAATTTCAGCTTCCTAGGACTCACCAGGATGGAGAAACAGAGATATATGAGTGAGTGTTAAGTAAGTGACTTTCGCATTTATACGTATAGAATCGTGTGGATTGTCAAAAGTTGATAACAAATATTTCATTGATATGGATAAACGAGATTCCTAAAAGTATTGAACATTCCGCTCACAACGTGACTATCAACTGTTGAAATCATGTTGAGCTCAGATAGATTCAAAAGTGAGCTAAAGAACTCTATCTTACTCTATTGGAGTCAAGCATCCACGGTATTGATAATATTCAACAGGAGACTCAAATCACCAATGATAATCAATCAAGGTTTCCAAAAGTTTTGCTACAAACCTTACGTAACTATCAACTGACTGGATTTTTTCATGCTCAGATAGATTCAAGACTGAGATATGTAGTGTGGTTTTAGAGCCTATCAACTATATCATTTTACGAACAAACGGATGGTACCGCAATGGGCAATCCATCAAGTCAGGCGATGACAACCTCTTTCATGGAAAATTTTGAACGAAGGAACTCAGAGCAAGCGGCCGTGAAACCATAGTGTGGCTGCGTTGAATTGCTGACAAGTTTATGTGAAGAGACACTAAATAATTTTCAATTGGATCTAAACTCTCTCGACCCAAAAATCCAATCCATAATGGAACACTATAGCCTTCTTGGAAGTTCTTGTGAACAGATGTGCAGATGGTACAGTGGCCAACAGAGTGTGCAGGAAATCAATGCACACAGACAGGTACCTGAACAAAAACTGTAACCACCAGCAACAACTAAAGAGAGGAGTAATTTGAACGTTGCTTGAGAGATAACAACGTATTTGAGAACATGAGAGTCTTTTTGAGAAACTTGATTACCTGAAAAATATCTTCGTAGAAAATGGATCCAGCGAAGGAGGATTTGAGTGGACCTTACGACCCAGGAGGGAGAAGACCAAATAGACCCCAGCTAAACTGGTCAGGGGAAAAGCTTTCCTTCTCAATGCTGTAAATGTTACAGACCGGATCAGGAGAATCTTAAAAAGAACACGACGTGAAACCAATATTTAGACCAATAAAAACTATCAGACAAAGTCTAAGGTCAGCTAAAGTCCCCAGAGAACCTTCAGCAATACCCGGGGTATACCAGATTCCTTGTATCTGCCGGTTGGTCTATATTGGAACCACGAAAAGAAGTGTAGGTACGTACCAGTCTCTCTGAGCAAGAGAGAAATTGTCGACTCTGACAAACCGACAAATCAGCTGTAGTCGAGCAAAGAAGACAGTCACATTTTCTCATTTCAAGGTACAGTAATACTCAGTAAAACTCAAAATTACTACCCAAGAGTAAATGAAGAGGCAATAGAAACTCAAAGACAAGGATGATTTGAATAGAAAAGGGAAGGCAACGAATATTAATAACATCTGCCTATCTGTACACAAACAATTTCAGGTAATAATATAGAACCAGAGTCAAATACTAGTTAACGTAGTTAATGCGTTCGGAACAACGAGAGCACGAACTAAGACACTGCGACCGCTACCACCTTTTTTGATGTCTACCGCAGTAGTAGACGAAATGTCAGGCATTGAAACCTGTAAACCACGGCCAAAAAAAATCGAAAATTGCTTTCGCACAACTATAGCATCTGATGACATATTGCTTCAAAATTCATTACATGTTCTCTTGTGGACATTTCTGAAAGGACATCTTATAGAAACCAAATCAAGATCCTTAGAATGTTATACCTACATATTGTTTGAATTGTTTGTACTTATCTGAATGAGTATCATTACGTCATGTATGTTCTCACCTTTCCAACTCCCTTAGAACTAAATCCTGGAACTGTTTCTCCAATCCTCGAAATAGTTCTGAAACGCACTTTTTGGGCTATCTTCACGATTCAGTTTTTATCTCCTCAATCGTTGCAAAACACCGTCCTTCCATGAATCTCTTCCATTTCGGGAACAGAAAGAACAGAAAGTCGCTGGGGGGCGAATCTGGGAAATACAGTGACTGAAGTATGATTACGATATTGTTTTCGGCTAAAAATCGATAATGTGGCAAGAACTCCTGATGCACCATGCCACGATTATCTACTGTTTTTTGTATTGGCTCTCCTGGGCTCTTCCATTAGAACGATTGGACTTTGGTTCCCAATTCAGCAAGACAGATGTCATCACACCAGTCAGGTTGTCTCTCAGCTCGCCATACAAGGCAGGCAGACCACTCAGTCATCCAGAGTACCCCATATTGTCACGTGGTGTCCTGTGGCCCAGCGGTGAACAATCAGAGTGTACCAAATTGTCATGGAGCGTCTTCAAAACTGTCACGCAGCTCGCCAGATAATCAAAGCGCACGATTCTGCATCTCAGAACATCGTGGCGGGAGATTTGATTTTTTTGTGGACATAAATAATTCAGGCAGGCAGACGACCAGGCGTATCCCTCAACGAGACAGACCACCCAGTCACGTGGCGCGCTTACGTGAGAGCATATTTTCGCTCAACCACCATATAGAAGTAAACACGAGTAAATTCACTCTGGGTCGGCGTCTTTGATGTATTGGGCTGATATTTTATTTTCTGCTGGCATGTGGCGGGGCAGGAGAGTGTCGGTTGTGCACCTCTGCACGAGGTTCGATCAAAAAATATATGACCATGATCTGACTTCATCATTGCTACGAGGAGCTCACGATAAGTATCTCATATGATTGTGAACTGTTTAGGAATTGATAGCAAACCATGTACCCATGATTCGTCACCAGTTATGACCCTTTCAAGGAAATCTGGATCACTGCTGACGTCATCCAACAATTCCTGAACGATGCTCATGCGGCAGTTTTTTTTGGTGAAAATTCTGCAATTTTGGAACGAACATTGCTGCCATATGCTTCATGCCCAAAATTTTCGGAAAAATTGTATTGCATGAACCAACCGATATGCCGACTTCCTCAACAACTTCTCTGATAATGATTCGATGAGTCTCCATAACAGTATTTTCGCTTTGTCGACATTTTCAACGGTTGTTGATGTGCTCCATCCACTTGTACACATTTTTCCGACTTCTGAATATTTTTAATCATTTTGTATATTTTCTTATTAGTCAGTGAGCTATGCTTGGAGACTGGCAGTAAACAAATCTGAAGAAATGAACTTTAAACGTTCAAGCCAGTCTCGAATATACCTACACAGTAAGTTGAATGGGCTGACGCCTATCAGAAAACAACTACTCTCCTGGCTAATACCACGAAGGGCGTTGGATTATATCCGACAGGCGTCAGTGCAGTAATCTTAACAGTTGGTTAGTACCTTGTCCACTAGATTGAGTGACATTTTGTTGTTCGCTCCAACTTAGGAAGAGGAATGAAATACTCTGAAAGAATTCCGATTTTCAATTATGAAATATCATTGACTTTAGGTTTATGATGGTCACTATCTTGCACTGCCGAGTGGCTAATGAGCCCGAAACCGGTCTGCAAGTGTGCCCATTCCAAAATTGAAGGTCAACTCTTTCAGTTGTATTGCCAATTGCATATGCAGGAAATTTTCTGTGAAGATTCCTGCACTAACGCCTGTCAGATATAATCCAACGCCCTTCGTGGTATTAGCCAGGGGATTAGTTGTTTTCTGATAGGCGTCAGTCCATTCAACCTACTGTGTAGGTATATACAAGACTGGCTTGAACGTTTAAAGTTAATTTCTTTAGATTTGTTTACTGCCAGTCATCAAGCATAGCCCACTGACTAATAAGAAACTTTTTTTTACTAGATTGTTCATAACTTTCGTAATTTTTTTGAGCCTCTCTTGAAATGTTTCAAAAAGATTCTAGAGGTCATTCCGAATCGAATGAGCTCTGAATCATGATTTTTGGTGCCCTTGGACAGAAGTTCCAGAAAAAGGATCTTGTGACTCAGACTATTCCAATTATTATATAGTCCTCTCACCATAATAACACAAGCATTTTGAGCAAGTAACATTTCTTTTCTGCCCTTTCCAATATCATGTAGCCCAACAATCTCATCATGATCAGTATGACCTTTCCTGATTCAACATGGTTCGTGATTTGATCTCCAGAAATTTGAAAATTGCTTCATTTTGAAAACCTGATTTAAATGTGAGCTTTTGAGTTAATTGCCTCAAACAACATTTTGTTGGAAGACAGAACAATTTACTCATGAAATGATATACTCGAGGCCCAAAAAAATTAAGTGTTAATGCAAATTGTTTGTATTCGGTGGAATACCTTCTTGCTGACGGATTTAATTTCTTCAATTTGGCTTGTGTTTTGACAATTCCTGATAAAGGTTCACTCAGAAACTTGTCATACATCTCATTGAAGTCCTCTAGAGTCGGATCTCTCTTATGACTGGATGTTTTCATGCATTTTTTCCTTCTCATAGCTCTTGGTTTCTCACGCAACTTCGTCTTTCGTGGAGTTCCACAGCTCAAAAATGCTTGTGTTTGAGTAACAGTTGTTGGAGAGACGTTACAACTTGAAGATGGTGAAGTACTCTGACCTGGGACTGGAAAAAAACTGTACTGTGATTCATTCATATAGTGATATATAATTTGATAAAACTTTTGATTTACCCTAATTTCTTTTTGAACTGTTAAATACATCATGTGTGTGAAGAAATACATGAGTTTTAAGAAAATCAAAATAACCCTACATAGAATAATTATTGATATTGTTTTCTTTCCTCATATTTCATAAAAAAATACCTTGACATATCTGTAGCAGCTGGAGGAGAAGTTATGGTTTCTGCGTGCATGACGATGTTACTAGTAATGTTCAAAAATAACAAATTATCATTTAGAAATGCAGAAGATATTACAATCAATATGTAAACTTGCGACACAACGTAGAAATCCGTATCCGTCAAAAAATATGTACTAAGAACATGCTAAATGGTACTCACCATCCAAGACAGCAATTTTTTCAGGAGGTCCTTCGCAATTTTCATCATTGATAACTTCCAAGAAGTGCTCAGTGGCACTGTGGGAAATATGTATGGAACTGCATTTTGGAATAGATGTTTATGAGTTCCGGATTAAGAAATGACTTCTTTGACAAAATTTTTCTCACATACCCTATAGTTTCTATGCAAGGCATGGATACCTGATAAATCATCTGTTACATAACCGTAGCCTACAAGCAGCCCTAAAGAAACATTAACAAAATATTAATTCATTTGCATGGGACATTTCCAAATGATAATAAATACAATGTTCAAAAAACTCCGTTGAGATAATGCTGAGAAATGAAAATTAATAACATTTACCTACCTTGTAGAATTCTCTTGAATTCTGAACAACCTTGTATTTTCCCCAGTTTTTGTAAAACAACCACGAACATTTGCGAAACATTCTCCTATATAAAAGATATTTCACCTATTCAAAATTTTTATCATATTCCAATAGTTACTGGAAGTAAAGTTGTAAACAATAACAAAGGAACGTTAAGTGGAAAGTCAAAAGTGAGGTTGAAGTTAAAACCACCTGTAACTGCACATGCGTATAAAAACTAGGTTCTGGCGGGAGGCCTAGCTTTCGCATCTGTATTTAATATGTGGTACCATCATCCTATGCTACTGTTGAAATTTCAAGTGTTATTGATCGCTTAAATCCAGTTTTCACACAAAATTTAGCAAATTCTTTGATCTTCTGATAACAGGAACCGCCAAACACGCGAAACACTTCATTAACAAACTAAACATGCTAAACAAACTAAAAATACTAAGCTTATTTAAAAAAATATTTTCAACTTTTTATTTCGATGTTTTTTTAGTTTTTTAAACTATATTTATTTTTAATTTTTTAGTTTCGAATGCTATAAAAGCGTGTTTTTCAGACTTTTTAAACTATATTCATTTTATCTAAACTTTGGGATCAATCAGCCGTATATTGTTCAGGAAAATGACCACCGATATTTTCCGATTCCAGAAAGGGAGCCAGAAAATCAGCTACCAAGCTCAAGGCAGCAGGCGCACAGAGGAGGATTATAAATAAGGCAACAGGCGCGCGTGTTATCAAAAAAAATACTTTTTTCAAATGAAGAAACACAAATATCAAGGAGGTTACGTAAAGCGCCATCTACCCGCGAATAGATCAAGCAATAACGTCGATATATCAAGGAGATTACGTATTGCGCCATCTGCCCGCGAATAGATCAAGCAGTAATGTTGATAATTCTGTCAAATACAGCTCACGACCTTGAGAGTTACAAACAAACAGATATACATACATACAGGTGAAGCGTGTAAAAAAAATTGCCCATCGAAAGTACGCAGCCCGCGAAATTCGAATATTCACGTTATTTTTTGTACACACCTTCTAATAATTTCGAGTCTGCAATGACTATATACATATTTGAACGAGCAAAGATCAATCCACATGTATAATAGTCCATGATTATTGCTATACAAAAACAAGAATATCTATTTTTCGTTCACGTACCAAGCAAATAATAAATTTACTTGATCAAAAGACTAAAAAATTTCATGAAAGTTTTTTCTTTGTTTCAGTATGTACAACGATGTTCCAACAGTATTCATTCCAGTATTATACTTCGAACAGACCCTGACCATACCAGAGAATATGACATATATGTTGAAGATTCTGCTCAATCTCAAGTATATCTGCATGGCTATTGGTATCCTCTGTATCTGCACGGGAGTCCTCGTTTCTGTCTGCGTGATATATAAAATCATCACTATAAAATCAGGCCCAATGAGGAGAGTGGAAATGAGAGTGAAAGTTAAAGAAGAACAACCCCTCAATCAATAATTCAAACTCTTCTATGATTCCATCAGGAGGAAAGGTCGATATCTTGTGATAATTACTAGTAGATAGATCGCGATCCAGAGTTACTCTTGGTTGGATGAGTTTAGCTCTCACTTTCCAATCATGATGTTTCTGTGTCAGTTAGGACCTCCTGTTGAGAGATACTGAAGCAATTAATTTGACTATAACAGGGAATAGAGATCAGAAATACGATCGAAAGCTGCGAGATCTATATATTTTCTATACGAAGGTGAAACAATTCTTCCCCAACAAATAAACATTATTTCTTCTTCATTTGTGACTCCCTGTTTGGAACATTTGATGCGGTAATGAATATCACTGGATTTTTTCCAACACCAAACCGTTATTTTAACACCTCGATACGTCGATCACCAAGTGATCGAAACATGTGTACTCTTGAAGATGAACACTTGGTGATCGAAACACGTGACGAGGTGATGAAATAACGGTTTGGTGTTGGAAAAAAACTCCAGTAATATTCATTATTTCTTCAGGGTTGTTCCATACTTTTTTTGCAATATTTCAAAAAAATTATTATTATGGAGTCAGATACTTGATCTCGTTTGTAAAATCGTTAAAGTTTTTCACTGCAAGTGCAGCATGATGATATTTCTGGACATATACATTCCAAATGCAGTTCTAATTGAATAATTGTGAATTCATGTGAATATTACTTATGTGGTTTGCAATAAACCTAGCTCCATCTTCCTGGGATCATAATCTTCTCATAGTAAATAAAGTGTGAAATCTTGGCACACTTATATAATGTAGATTCGTCAAATTACCATCCACTTTGAAATGATTTTTCAAAATCAGTCCTCAGGGAAAATATGAAACTCCTAATTGATTATATTGATATCTGTTAAGGTCTGTTGAAATCTGTTGAAATGTTTTTTCAATTATCAGAACCAACCAGTATAAAGTGTCAAATCAGTTGATAGGAAATTAAATTTGAGATTTGTGAATGAAATTCAAGTTTGAATATTTCAAAAATCCGAGATTCATATCAATTTTGGGGTTCACTTTGAATGAATATTCCTTTTTTACTGCATTTTGTGTCAACAAAATTTGTTTCGTGGAGGTTTATCTCCTCAAATGTGTCTTCACAATTATGTTTTGTCTTAATTTCATCAATGAATGAGGACATACAAATTTTTCAAGAAAACTGTAGTCCAAATTTGGCCTACATTAGTACATACTGTCAAATGACAGGAAATTGTCAGAGAAAAATATGGAAAAGATATTCGAAATCCTAAATTTTATCTTAAAAAGTATTCAGAAAATAAATGAGTTTTATACTAGACAAGCCAAGATTTTCGAAATATTTCTGATGAATTCCACAGCAAGATTTGTTTTTGTTGAAAATTGAAAACGTTTGATGCAATTATACACATCATTTTCAGTTCGCATTGTTGACTGATAATTACGAATTCTATTCAAATAAGTGATATCTTAATGAATTGGAAAAATGTGTTGCGACAACTATTTTTGATAAAATGAACAGTTTTCTCGTCATCCAAATGTATTTTGCTCGTTACTTTCAAAGTAAATATTGTTGTTTGTCCTTTGTAAATAATTTTACATACACCTCATTGAATAAGTAATTGTTTTAATGTGATCATCAATTGTTTCAACTTTCTGGTTGAAATCATTCATTTTTTTAACTGGGTCATAAATATGTAATAAAGTGTTAATTAATTTTATTCTATGTTTTATTCAAAATACCTCATTTTCCAAGGATCCATATATAAGTGATATCGAGTATTAAATTCAACCAATGAGAAATATTGTCGTTAGGAATTGACAATAATAATGATAAATTCGGAACGAAATCTTTTCGAATTCACCCGAATTTCAATACTCTACTCGAAGAGTACTTGTTTTGGATTCATTTACGTGAAACATAATAATAAAATAATGAAAACAGGACCCCCGTTTTCATTATTAATGATAAACTTTTTTATCAATATAGATTCCATTGGCCCGTTCACGAAATGATACCGGATGAATGAATGAATAGAAAATATTCTTCCCTTGAATAGTTTCAGTAGAGCCATGATGATAATAGTACAGCCCGCTATCGAAAGCGCTCGCATATGATAAGTAAAAGTTAATAAAGTTTCAAGTCCTTTTTTAAAACAAATGTTTATATTTAAATACTGAAAATATAGGAATTTTTTTGCATCAATATAACTTCCATTTATTATATGCGAGCGCTTTCCATAGCTGGTTGTGCTATCATCTTGACTCCACTGAAACTGAACGTTTTATCTTCTTGTTTGTTCTTTTACGCCTAAGTACAGGTACTGCAGGTGAATTTGCCTGTATTTTAGCCTGATCAGGTAATATCGTTTGTGTTGGATTTTCTCTAGGTTCACTCTTTCTAGGAATGTGTACTGTACTGTGTAGTACTTATATTTTATGGATGTTCAAGTTTTCCCAGATGTCCATACGGTTTCCTTTATTGACTTGTTTCATGAGTTTTATGTTCTCTGGCGGGGAAAAGTTATGTTTGTTTTATATGGCGTGTGTTGCAAGCTTTGATTTATATATTATTGGGTTCATGTATGCCTGATTGAAAACACAAACATCATGACCTTGATAGTCTGGAACATCCGAGAAAGGTTGTATATTAGTCTCTCTTTTATACAGATACTTCTACGAGAGGTGTTCAAGTGATAGCACATTTGATTCCAACAAGAGCGTTTTTCCAAATGAATTCAATCTCCAGCGATTCAAATCCAACGTGAATCGCTACTTTCGCACAGGCATCGCTCTCAGAGCACCTTGAAAATGTTCCTGTGTTGCTTGTGTTTTGTTCTTGAAAAAATAAGGGGCGGCGTATTTCCGGAAATTTATTTTCATTTTTTAAAGTATTCATTAGGATTGATATGATGATATTTTCAACAAGGACAAATGTGAAATGAGATATTGCAAGGTTTCCAAGACAAATAAGAAGTGAGCGGTTTTTGAATGAATTGAGTTGTTACTTTCAAGTTCTCAACAAATTCTGTGCTCTTCACTGAATTTTGAATTTTTTTCTCAGTTGATAAGTTATGGGTATACAACCAACAAATACTATAAAATATGGTTCCCTCGTAAAGTAAAGTTACTCGGGAAAAATTGTTTGTTTTTTTTATTATTTTGTACAGAAAACAGAAACTAACTAATTTTGCTAAAGATCTTTGAGTTATTTTGTACCAAGATTTCTCCAGGATTATATATTATGTAAGACAACGAAAGAATTAATTATGATCATCCCATCTCAAATCAAGAATATTACAAAAATAAACAATCCTTGATACCGTGTCAATTGTTTAACAATCATGATTATCACGTTCTGAAATGAACCTGCGTGTGTGAATGTGAAACACATGTATGCTGTTATTGTTAGATACAGACTCAAGAGATTGAAGATAATACACATGTGAATATATTTCAAACCGATGGAAACGATGCACGTGTTACGTTTTTGTGAAACTGCTTCATGAAAATCTCACAATGAAGTGTTTTTCAAATACGATTGTTGGGATTCGTTCTCTAACTATACTGTCGTATTATTCAATGAATAGCAGTACCCATAACTCATAAGAATGAAGTTTTTTGGAAATTGGCTGAAAACGAGCGGCCTCAATCATTCGATTATGTAATGACCATTTTTCGTGGGTGGAATACTATAATTTTTCCATGATTCATATCAGGAATATTTCAACGTAAGATCAGTTCGTGAAGGATAACCCGAATGGAAGTAATTTCATTAAATACTGAAAAATGAAAAATGGCATGTAGAAATTTCCAGTGGAGTTCAATCGTTTTCATTTTTACTCAATGTTTTTCGTTGGAAACTGTATTGATAAAACATACTGACAGTTCATTTAGTTTGATGATTGAGTAGGACGTTTAAGAGCAACTTTGCAATCGATTGATTCTGGAGGCTCTCTCCTGAATGAGAATAATTGAAACAACTGTGTACGCTGTACACTTTAAAAAAAGCAAATTCAAGCTGGCCTTAGCTACAAAATAGTAGATTACATATAACTTTATAATACTTAGGAAATAAATGAACCACTATTATATTATATTATATTATATTATATTATATTATATTATATCATATCATATCATATCATATCATATCATAGTTCATAAATGAACTAATCAGAATGAAAAGAATTGAGTAACAAAATTCAGAACTGAAAACTTGAAAATGAAATAATTTAAAAAATATATGTTAAACGATTTTATTGAAAAGAAAAAGATCTGATGAAAAATAATGAAATCGTTGGACGTAATATTCACATATTTACCCAGGTTAAGTACACAACGTCCAACGACTTTAATATTTTTCTATCTGATTGACACCGTAGATTGCTGAGGTGAGTGATGTGATGACTGCCACCTAGGACGTCCGAATTATTTTTCAGTTTTTAATACATTAGCTCTATCATTATTTTTTATCAATAAATCTATTCAACATAATTTTTTTACTCATTTCATTTGTCCATTAAATTTGTTACAATATCAAAATTAGCTGAAGGCGAGCGTTATCAATTATTCGATTGATTGAGCGATGACCATTTTTCATGAGTGGAGTACCATAATTTTTCTATGGTTCATATTAGGAATATTTCAATGTAAGTTAAGTTCGTGAAAGATAACCCGTTTCGTTTTGTGTGTAGCAAAACTAAATAATCACAATACAACTTTTCACATCTTGCGTTTGTATCCTGATAAGTAAAAAGGAACGTGCTTTCAATCAGGTACTTTACCTACCTATCAGTTTCAGGGAGCCAGTGGAAATATCATGAAATTGATTTATTCTAAATTTTTAGAGACTGTTTAGCCTTGGATAATAGCTCACCGAGCAATAAACTTTAAATGGTCAGAAAATTCGAAATTGTAGATTATTTCTTGCTGTACATGTTTGCTATTCGGCTAAGAAAACCAGTATAGTTTTTGTGTATTCACGTTGAACCTAGTTGTCTAGTTGTCAGTGTTACAAGTACATTTGCAAAATAACGCTTCTCGGGCACTTCAAAATGGAGAAAAAAATGTATACCGAGTTGATTTCCAGGTATAGTTCAAGTAAACGATACAGAGCAACCTACCTTCCAACAGTTCTCCTGTAATAATATAGTTAGGGAGTTAGGGAGCTAACTAATTTCGTTACTTTATTATCATAATACATAATATAGTTAATAATTATTTTACATAACCATCGTATGGAACATTCTCCTGATGATGGAAACAATTCATTAAATTTCCGAAAGCTTGGACAAACTTCAAAGATTCTCTTCCATTTGCTGCTGCGGTTCGACCCGGACATAATTGAAAATACTTCAGAATACTACTCACCCACATATATAAACAATTGATCGTTTCAAAAACACTTCACTAAATTTTTTCGAAAGCTTCTGATAATTCTTCTCTCATATTCTCTGTTTCACTATCACTGTCGTCATTTAAATCAATAATGAATTTATTTCCAACATCAGTAGGGAAGTGTCCAATCTCTATATAGTTTTTTTCAACTGAAATTACTTTTTTAATCCTTTTCTGTCGGTCTTCTTTGGTGATATTAAATACTTCTTCTTTGATTACCTCTATTACCTTCTTACCAAATTTTGGAAAATTATTTTTACCCCTGATGATTTCCCCAAATCAACTTGATGGGATTGAAAACACAAAAATAGGGGGGAAGTCTCGGTATGGTGTGTCCATACTTTTCAGCAATACTCTAAAGGGCATACACTTTCTTAAATGATTTTGTCTGTAAAACTTCAAATAGCTGGATATTGGTATTGGTAAATACAAATTGATACCCATTAAAAACTTTTCTATTTCATCTTTCCTTGAATTTTTATTCGGTTCTTTGATGAGCTGTCACGAATTATAGGACAAATTTGGAATCGATGTGTTATCAAACCATTCCTCTAAAATATCAATTTCCATGTTCTTATGATTGCCATTATTGCAGTCCTCAAGTTTTTTTCACATAATTTCAAAGAATTCAGAACCCATCCTTTACTTCCTCCGCAATGCACAATGATTACTTGAATAGAAAATTTGCCGTTGTTCTTGTCTACATTTAGTTATTTGTTCTTAGTATTTGTCACGCAATTCCACTATTCTTCTGCTTTCCATAACTGCTTGACGGTTGTTTATTATTTTAAATCTAAATCCTAGTTTCTTTATAAAAGGTTTGTCACAGTAGCTTACGTTATGGACGAAAGTATTCAATTTCTTCCTTATGATTTCAGTTGTAGGTATCTCATTGCTTTTGAAACAGTCGTATATTATTTTTTCAAATGATTTTATTAGATCAACATCTAAAGGTTTTGGTAATCCCGTATCACATCGCGTCTTGATTATTTTTCGTACCTACAGTTGAGAAAGGAATTTCTGTCTAATCTGATGTTGCTTGTGATAGTTTGTTTCCATCGAAACCAAACTTGAGATGTAGATTCTTATATACGTTGAAACATACTCTCTGTGCTTCAATATTCAGAAGCATCCGAATCTTATTCACTGGTATCTCTTTTTCGCATTGTTCACCATCGCTATTGGAATCACTATACAGGAAAAATTCTGCGTTTTTATCACACTCGTTATTACTATTGGTACTTGTCCAAGGTCGCCACATTTTAAACAGATAACAAAAATTTTAAGTAATTATAACTGCAGCAATATCGAATTTCAACACTCAAATCGCGATCAGTTCCTCAACTAAACATTGACAACACGACAGTTCGCATTCTATTCGTCACCGTAACATGACTTCAAATTTAATTTTATGACTCTTCAGCCAATCATGAAACTCTGTTGGTAAAAATTATCTAATACGAATTGCATAATATTCCTCAGTCCACGTGGACTAGTTGGCAGCGGCTTTATTTCTCTGTTGTATTTTTTTTTTGGCCTTTGAGCTCGCCGACAGCTTTAACTATGCACTACACCGGTTACTTCGACTATACTCATGAGACGTTCACACAACAAACTTATTTATATGTTCAGATATTCCCTGTTCAAAACAGAAACCCTAATCTCCCATCCGTGTAAGATAAGATATAGTAGCGACTTTTCATCTCATACAATGAGAAATGGCGATAAAGTTCATAAACATCGTCTGAATCAGCGTGATCACAAAGCCTATTAGCAATTCTGAACAAAAATTTAATCGGTTGAAGTTTAAATTCTTGTTATGTTAAGTGACAGTCCAACATGGAACTTCAGTTGTGCCTCGTATCATCAAAGGTCAGAATGCGATAAATGATAACACACTTTAGTTATATTATACTCGTGGGGAATGAAATTATGTATTTATAATTTGTAGTTTGACGTTTCAAATAATATCATGTAGTTCTTTTTGGAAACAGGCCGTTCTATTTCATGAAATGTTCGTATGTCATATTATCTTGACATTGATGCAGTTACTAACAGGTGAGTCTTTCTTTCATATTTCCAGTGATCCCAGCATAATGGTGATGATTTTGAATAATCCAAACTGGGGTCGATTTTTATCACAAGAGCTGAATTCGAACTATGGCTTTCGGTAAATGAAAGCATTACAAATGATGTTTTGAAGTAGTTTCTATTTTAAACAATGGGAGCATTGTTAGAGCTCGAAAAATTTGTTCGGATATGACTAAAATAAATAAATGCTGTTTATTTTAGTTATGGGTGGTATATGATTGATGGTATACGATGGATGCCTTACTAAAATTTCAGGGTTTTCAGAACTTTCCAAGACCAGCATAATGATCATCATAACATATTTTTATAGCTAGCATAAAAACATGTTTCAAAACAAGTCGCCCCCTTCTATTCATGAATATTGTGGGTTAGAATTTTTACGAAATAATTGAGCTTTTGATGTCATAAAAATTGTAGCAAAAATGCGATTTTGAACTGTGAATATGATCGTTAAGGTTGTTAAAGTACTGCAAAATCTATAAGGATGCAGGAATGGGGTTAGCGGATAGGAGTGGGGATAAATGAACTCAATCAATGAATCATATATTCCATTCAAAGACTCAATTGGGTATAGAACATGTCAATAATAATGAACAATAAAGAAGTTCTTATCCTAAAAAAGAAACATATAGTTTTACAATCAATTTGCACAATCACAAATATATAAAAACATACACTCGGTCGGTAGCCAAGCGGTTCGGCGTGGGTGCTTTGTTCACTCACTCGAATTGACTGCCGTGTTGGTCGGTGGTTCAAGCCCTTGTCTGAACGATCGATCTTCACTTGCTATCGTCCAACCCGTATTAGGAAACACACGTTAAAAGGTAAGACCTCTTTAATCCTTAGCTCGCACAAGTTTCGACTTCTGAGATACACTAATTCACAATTTTTTTATATTGAGGTCGTAAAATAAATTAATTTGTTAATATTTTTTTCATGGCGCTTCGAAATCTGGATAGTGTGATCTCATTCCTAATATTTACTGGCAACTTATTGTAAGCCTATATACCCATGGAAATTGGTCTCTTTGACACCTTTGACACAGATTGTCAAGTCTGGGATAGATATTGCTGCTACTCTAGTTTGATATGGGTGTACATCATTATGATTCGGAAGTGTATTTCTGGTTCTGTAGATATAACATACCACCTCCAGTAGATATAAGCAGACCAATGACAGGATATTCAACTCTGCAAATAGCGGTGTTCAGGAGAGTCTCTTTGACGTTTTCATTATAGCTCTTACTGCTCGTATTTGTTATAAGAAAAACCTTGTGCTTCCGGCATTGCTCCCCATAGCATTATGCCATACAACAAACTTGACTGGATTTCGGCAAAATAAAAATATCTCAGAAAGTTCCTAGGGACATGGTTACGATTACACCGAATTTTTATTAAATTTTACAAAAAAGATTTGAAGCTTTATATCTTCTATTAATTATCTGCGAGTGCTTTCGATAGTTGGTAGTACTGTCATCTTCTAGGCACTCCTCAAACTGAACTTGTCATCCTATCGTCTGCCTCTTTATACGGTCAGAGCGTCTCAACTCAGGCATTTCAGGTACTTTAGGTAAATTTGCCTGTATTTGTACTGCATCAGGTACTCTTCTTTGTGTTAGATCTTCTATAGGAATGTGTATGGTTTTGTTTATTATATTGAATGTGAGGTCTTGTTGTGTTTTGATTTGTACTTGTTCCTCGATAAGTGATTTATGACTGTTGAATTTATGGATGTTCAAATTTTCCCAAATGTCCATGCGGTTTCCCTTGTTGCCTTGTTTTATGAGTTTTATGTTCTCTGGTGGGGGGAAATTATGTTTGTTTTGTATGGCGTGTGTTGCGAGGTTTGATTTATATACTATTGGATTTATGTATGCCATTTTGTGATCATTGTACCTTTGGAGCAGTTTTTTCTTGGTTTGGCCGATATAGAATTTTTTGCAGTCCGAGCATTTATACTGTATATCCCGTTTTGGTCTTGGTCTTCTTCTTTTTCATTATTGTTTATTTTAATCTTAACAATAATAAAAACACATGATGAAAAAGGATAATGGTTCAGATACGTTGACGATGGACTGTACATATCACAAAACAATGGAATAAGAATAGAACAAATAAAAAAAAGAAATTAACGAAATAAATCAAAAACTAATTAATTATCGACTAATTATCGATGTTGAACACAATCTCAATAGGTTTGTTTCATGCTATGGAAAATGATACTGGTTTGCTTATAGACTGATCGAGTTAGGGGTATATTATACTTATCAAGCCTAATCGGTCCCAAAATCTCTTAATATTTGCAGAAAAAAGAATAATTCGAAAAGCAAGAATTTAAATTGGCCGCGTGTCTGTTGACCAATGAAATTGATCGTGTCTAGAGCGAAGCTGCCAAGTGTATTGGTTTTCAATATCCAATCACAGATCCGATGACCCAATTTGACAGACACCATTTTTGTTGTTATTGTTGTCAACTCGCGAATACAACTGTTACAATTACCTAATTAAAGAACGTTTTCTTTGTAAAAGGTAGGTCTCGGCGGGTGCCTATTTTGCTGCATATTCCGTGTCATTAGTTTACATTTCGAAAAATATTTTTTCAGATTATTTTTGGATTGATATGTTCTGAATTAATTCAACATTTCACTGTACATATTTTTGCTTCTCTTTTCAGTCACCATACTGATCCTTGGCCGAGATAAAATGAAAATTAAATCAAAACTTTCCATCCTTCGATAAGACAAAATCTGAAATGAATGTCATATAAATTAAAGGGACCTACTAAATATACCACCTACCGTTTCAATTTTTCATTCTTCATTTCGGTACCAACTGCAAATTTTTCAAGTAAAATTCATCGATCATTTCAAAATCGACTCTTGGTAAGTTGTCGGAAGTCAGCTTTAACAAAACTAGAACCAACAACACAAACCATAGAGTAAGTAGTTTGTGCTCAACATTCATTTTGAAATTATTTTAACAAAAATACGAAATTTGTGGAAATCGTTGACATTAGAAAGAGCACATTGTCGCATTCACTACAGAAGGCGCTGATATGGCTGATACGGCTTATATACCAGTAACGTTGAATTTCTTATTTGTACTTGTACCATATCAGTTAACAAGGCAAATATTATTGTCCATTTTTATAATTAATTCGTGGATTCGAGCGATGTTATCATTGTATATTTATTTGTTTGCTGGCTTCATTTAAAAAAAATGAATGAATAATTACAGAAAATTTCCATTGATCTTTCATTTTCTCAGGAAAATGGAGTACCCATATCACAATTTATTGGTTTATTCGGATCCATTCTGCTTATTTTTGCAACATTGAGTTTCAACTTTTTCTTAGCTGACAGCTCGCGTAGGAACAATTTGTTTTTTTCATCGAGTTTAGTTTGTTTATGTTTTAAAAGTGTTTAAAAACATATTTGAATATTAATATGGTGCATTCTTGTGCTGATTTCAATTGTGCGTAAAGGCACAAGAAAACAGAAAGCGCATTGGTTTAAAGATGAGTTATTTCATATAATGAGTTTAGGTTCCCAAAGGATAAAATGAAGAGAAAAAAAATTGGTGAAAGTATTGAAAAGAAAGAACTACAATCCTTCTACTCTTTCAAGACTTTATAGAAATCATTTAAAAAGTGACTATAAATGAAAGGGAGACAAAAATATTGAATTTAATGACACATTTTTTTATTTAAACTTCAAGTATTCTCCACAGAAAGTATTATCTGGAGTTAATACTGTGAATAAAAGTATGATACATCTCACTTCATTAAATTTCATCATATGACTAATGGTATTCCCTCAGAAGCTTTTGTTAGATCAGTTCGGGTACAATCAATTCTGTCTATACTTTACCTCATAGAACTTATTTCCAAACATGATTCATCGTGTACATTTTATTCCATAACTGAATTGATAATTCACAACACAACAAAAAATATTTTTTGAATGTTTCCTACACTAAATTAGTCAATTTCTACTAATTTTGGGGTGATAAAAACGAAAGTACATAAAACAATATTGTTATGTTTCTTTTAGAATATTTTAAGTACAAAATAATAAAAAAAACATTATTCTTAGTGTTTTGACAAATAAAAGAAGTTTGTACCACCAAATTTCAATTAAGTCCATCCGATTCATTGTATGATCGCTGTCGTTTAGCTTGTCTTTTATAAAACACTTCTGGAGCATCCCTACACACAGACCAGCAGTAGTCTGTAAGCATTGCTTCATTCCAACGGCCCTGATATCTCTGTTCCATTAAGGCAATGTCTTGATGGAATCTTTCTCCATGTTCGTCACTCACAGCTCCACAGTTTTGTGGAAAGAAATTAAGATGAGAGTGAAGAAAATGAATTTTTAAGGACATGTTGCATCCAAGTTGGTGGTAAGCTTGAAGAAACTCTTTAACCAATGTTGTGAAGTTATCATCTCTTTTGTTACCTAAAAACCCATGTACAACCCCCTTAAAGGCTTCCCAGGCTCTTTTTTCATTTCCTTTTAAAATCATGTCAAAAGCAGGATCATTTACGATTTCACGGATTTGAGGCCCAATAAAGATGCCTTCCTTGACTTTAGCATCACTCAACCTGGGAAACTTTGCTCTCAAGTACTTAAAAGCTTGTCCTTCCTGGTCCATGGCCTTCACAAAGTTTTTCATTAGTCCCAACTTAATATGTAATGGGGGAAGGAGAACATCCTTAGGATCTACAAGAGGCTCGTAAACTACATTTTTCTCATTAGGGTTTAGGTCTCGTGTAGGCCAGTTCATTTTTTTATAGTGAGATTTTCTATCCCGACTGTCCCACAGACACAAAAAACAACAGTACTTGGTGAACCCTAATTGCATTCCTAGGAGTATAGCAATGACTTTCAGATCTACACAGATGTGCCACTTGTGTTGTTCATATTTGATTGATTGGAGAAGTGTTTTCATATTTATATACGTTTCCTT